GTTTTTCCATCAATATCTCAGGTACAAGTAATTTTGAATTAATTTTTAATGTGTCTTCAATACTCTCAGCACACGGAAGTTATTTCTAAGCTTTCTTTGATTTATTGTTTATAATTAACACTGCCGCTAAAACTGGACAGGGACTATGCCATTGACAATGTCTTGTTTCTTAATTTTGGATCAATCTCTTATTGGTGGCATATCTTATCAACTTTTTGAGAAAATAATGAAAAAATTATAATGGCTTATTTTGCTTACTTTGGGGATCAAAGGTCAATAGCAAGACTTTCAAACAGAGTGGATATAGGGAGACACAATTGTAATTTTGTGCAAAATATTTCCTAATATTTGCATGATTAAGAATGCTGCAGAGCTCGAACATCGGATTATAAGACTCCTGCAGCAACTCCAAGTCATATCACATCCAATTAAAATGCACAGCGGTATTTTATTGACATTTGGCTACGAGCAAATCAATTGATCTCATTATGGAATGATTGTATCTTTGTATTAACTTAATCCACAGATATTGTGAAAAGTAATTAGTGCTGCTGTCACGCATATGACTAATTTTGTAAAACAAATACAAAGACAAGCTAGTAATAGGTGTATTTTACCTTGTTGACATTTTAGAGAAATCCCATTAAACCATGTAGATAAAGAAGGTGATGATGCTGTAATGTAACAAGTTTGAATGTGATATAGCCATACATGATTTATAATTCTATCAGTGAAGCATACACTTGTGGAATTTTTGATTTAGTGTTCAATCAGTGCAGGTGAAGATCTTATCATACTGTAGAATTCTGAGTTTTCACTATTCTCATATTTTTATCATATTTGTTGAGTTTGAAATTTAAGAACGTTCCAGTTAGAAAGTGAGTTCTATTGTAATATCTTACATTTTTATTTGGATTTAATTGAGTAGATTTCACTTATCAGCAATAATACCTAAATTAAAACCACGTAAATAATTTATGGGTTTACAGTGTTTAAGATGAAATATGAAATAAAAACCACATATACTGAAAGGTAGTTCTGAGGAATGAGTGTTTGTCCTTCGTCGTTCGTGTCAAATTTTTAGTTTTTCGGCTTCTTCTTGAAAACAACAATTCTTATTGATACTTGGTATATATGTTCCTTGGGCAGATCTCTCTCAGATTTGTTCATTTCATGATCATAATTTTAATTTCCAATTTTGATGAATATTTTTATCATTTTTGGTGAAAAGTGATATTTTTGACTTCTTGTTGAAAACTGCATTTGATATTACGGTATATATATAGGTACTACATGTGGGCCTCTCAGATTTGTTCATTTCGTGATGATATCTTCAGTTCTTTAATTGAAATGTGCATTGCTAGCAGCAGAGCTATTTCAGCCGAGAGGCTGCTTGTTTAACAATTTGACAACTTTCGTATGGTTTGCTCCACCCCTTCTGTAGAAACACAAATAATTCATGAATTGTGAGATGATGTAAAATAGATAAATACTGATGCAAATGAATAAGCCTATT